ATTCTGGCTACTTGGAAGGCTGAGGCGGAAGGATCGCCGGAGCCCAGCAGGTCGAGGCTGCAATGGCCGGGAGCGGCCACTGCACTCCAGTCTGGGTGACAAAGTGAGACTCCAACTCAAAAAAAAAAAAAAAAAAAAAAAGAAAAGAAACAAGACAAGGATGCAAACTCTCACCACTCCTGTTTAACACAGTACTGGAAGTCCTAGCTAGAGAATCAGACAAGAGAACCAAATAGGAAAAGAGGAAGTTAAGTTATCCCTCTGCAGACAACATGATTCTATACCTCAAAAACCCAAGAGAATCTGTCAAAACCTCCTTGCACTGATAAAGGACTTTGCCAAAGTCTCAGGGTATAAAATAAATGTGCAAAAGTCAGTCGCATTTCTATACACCAACAATAAACAATCAGAGACCCAAATAAAAAGCACAATCCCACTCACAATTGCAAATAAAAGAAGTACCTTGGCATCTTCCTAACCAGACAAGTGAAAGACCTTTTCAATGAAAACTACAAAACACTGCTCAAAGAAATCAAGGATGACACAAACAAATGGAAAAATATTTCATGCTCATGGATTGGAGGAATCAACATTGTTAAGATGTCCATCCTACCCAAGGCAATCTACAGATTTAAGGCAATACCCATTAAATTACCAGCAGCATTCTTCTTAGACCTGGAAACGACAATACAGGAATTCATATGGAAACATAAATGACCATGACTCACCAAAACAATCCTCAGCAAAAAACAAAAAACAAACCAAGCAGGAGGCATCATGCTCCCAAACTTTAAGCTGTATTATAAAGCTACAATAAAAACAGCCTGGTATTGGTACAAGAACAGGCATATAGACCAATGGAACAGGATAGAGATTCCAGAAGCAAAACATCAATTTCTCAACCAACTCATCTTCGATAAAGCCTCTATCATCAACTACTGGAAAGAGGAAAACCTATTCAGTAAAGAGTGCTGGGAAAACTGGCTGACCACATGGAGAAGATGAAAACAAGGCCCTTATCTCTCCCTATACACACCAACTCATCTTCGATAAAGCCTCTATCATCAACTAGTGGGAAGAGGAAAACCTATTCAGTAAAGAGTGCTGGGAAAACTGGCTGACCACATGGAGAAGATTAAAACAAGGCCCTTATCTCTCCCCATATACAAAAATCAACTCTAAATGGATTAAAGACCTAAATGTAAAACCTCAAAGTATAAGAACCTTAGAAAACGCAGAAGATACCCTCTCGGAAGTTGGAACTGGCAACCAATTCCTGATCAAAATCTCAAGTGCCCAGGTCATAAGAGGTAAGATAGACAAGTGGAACCTCATCAAACTGACAAGCTTCTGCAAAGCCAAAGAAATCATTGAGAGAGTGGGGAGACAGCCCATAGACTGGAAAAAAATATTTGCCAACTATATATCTGACAAAGGCCTAACATCTAGAATCTACAAGTAACTCAAAAGTGCCAAAAAGAAAAAAAACAAACAGCCCCATTACAAAGTGGGCAAAAGATATGAATAGATACTTCTCAGCAGAAGACATACGAGCAGCCAGCAGATATACGAAAAAAATGCTCAGCTTCACTAGTCAAAGAAATGCAAATTAAAACCATACTGAGATACCACCTAACTCCAGTCAGGATGGCCATCATCAATAACTCAAACAACAAATACAGGAAAAGAGGATGCAGAGAGGATGCAAAGAGGACGCAGAGAGGATGCAGAGGATACACTGTTGGTGGGAGTGTAAACTAGTACAGTCTCTGTGGAAAACAGTGTGGTGATTCCTAAAAGACCTAAAAATTGACCTTCCATATGACCCGCAATCCCCCTACTGGGAATATACCTTGTGGAACTCAAATCACTCTATGAGAAAGATACCTGCACATGTATGTTTATTGCAGTGTTATTCACAATAGCAAAAACATGGAACCAATTTTGCTGCCCATCAAAAGAAGACTGGATTAAAAAAATGTGGTATCTAAACACAATGGAATATTACGCAGCCATAAAGAAGGACAAAATTATGAACTTCGCAGTAACTTGGGTGGACTTAGAGTCTATAATACTGAGTGATCTATCACAAAAACAAAGAACTAAGTATCACATGTTTTCACTCATAAGCAGACCTTGAACAATTATTGTAAAACTATAAGAAAAGATTGGCAGTAGTGGAAAACTGCCAAGGAGGGGCGGGATTAGCAGTAGTGGGAATCTGCTGGGGGAGGGGAGGTACACCTCATCAACAAGGGTACCTGCATAATGACCATTTGTATACCTAACCCTGAATTGTACCATATATCTTTAAAATTAAAAATTAAAAAAAGGAAGAGGACTGGATTAAAAAATGTGTACATATACGCGATGGAATATTATGCAGCCATAAAGAAGGATAAAATTATGAACTTCACAGCAGCTGAGATGGACTTAGAGTCTATAATAATGACTGACCTATCACAGAAATGAAGAACTAGTATCACACATTCTCACTCATAAGCAGACCTCGAACAATTATTATAATACTATAAGAAAGTGATTGGCAGTAGTAGGAAAGTGCCGGGGGGGGGGGG